GGTTACCAGTTTCTTCTCCTCTTTTGTTTGTTTTTTTTTCTTGTTTTGTCTTTTTTTGTGTTTTACTTGCTTGTATTTCGTACAAATGTGGTTGTGTACATAGATTTTAGTACGTTTATACCTGGTAAGTATGCGGTGTAAAAGTCCACCGCATAACATACTATGCGATCGCATAGGTGTTATGCGGTGGCTGATGACTGGGTCGTGTGGGTGCAAATATGCGATGCAAGATGCGATCACATACTTGACATGTGGTCCTCATAAATGACAAATGACTGCAAAGTTGACAATGAAATTAGCCAAACACTCTGTCTAGGTCTGCGATAACTATACGATTCGCATAGTCATTATGCGACCGCATAGCTGTCGCTCAATTTGGACCTCTTTTTCCTTCAGCTTCTTCAGCACTAAGACCTTGTTCATGATATTTTACCTGCACTCTAGCACACACGTCAACTTGCTCAATCTAATCTACATAAATAAATAAATAAATAAATAAATAACTACAAAAGAGTGTTACACACATGGGTTGCCTCCCAAGAAGCACTTGATTTAATGTCGCGGCACGACGCAGTTTACTCCTTTTGGATTAATCTTTGGTGGAAGCAGTTGTTGGATCATCTCGGAGAGCAATTTGTTCTATCACATGCCTTTCTCCGGCGGTTCCAAGGTAATGTTTTACTCGTTGTCCATTTACCTTGAAGGTCTGAGTCCCATCTTCTGACTCAAGTTCAACAGCGCCATAGGGAGACACACGCACAACTTTGAATGGTCCAGACCATTTGGACTTGAGTTTTCCCAGAAATAACTTGAGTCTTGAGTTGAAAAGTAAGACCTTTCACCCGAATTAAACTCCCGTTTCAAGATTTTCTTGTCGTCAACAAACTTCATCCGTTCTTTGTACATGGTTTCACTCTCATAGGCATGAAGACGGAATTCTTCCATCTCATTGAGTTGTGTCATCCTTAGATTAGCAGCCTCAGCCCAATCAAGATTTAGCTTTTTTAAAGCCCACATAGCTTTGTGCTCAAGTTCTACTGGCAAGTGACAAGCTTTGCCAAAAACCAACATGTATGATGAAGTGCCAATGGGGGTCTTGAATGTTGTGTGATAGGCCCACAATGCATCATCTAGCTGCCTTGACCAGTCGGTCCTGTTTGCATTAATAGTTTTCGCTAGGATATTCTTGATTTCTCTATTCGAAACTTCAACTTGACCACTTGACTGAGGATGATAAGGTGTGGCCTCCTTGTGTTTTACACAATATTTTTCGAGCAGCCCGGCAAAAGCCTTGTTACAGAAATAAGACCCACCATCACTCGGGATGGCCCTTGTAGTTTTCTGTTCTTTAAGAAAATTACAAAAGGTATTACAATGATTTTGATCTGTGTAGATGATATGCTTATTACTGGTGATTGTCTGAGGTTAATATAGGAAACCAAAGAAAATCTGCAACAGTCTTTCAAAATGAAAGACTTAGGAGAATTGAAATATTTCTTAGGTATAGAATTTGCTAGATCAAAACAAGGAATACTTATGCATCAGAGGAAATATGCTTTGGAACTTATTTCTGAAACAGGTCTTGCAGCTGCTAAACCAGCAATTACACCACTGGATGTCAATATGAAGCTCACAACAACAAAATATGATGAACATCTCAGAAAAACTAAGCCTATACAGTGTTAGATGAAGAACTGATAGATTCAACTCCTTATCAAAGGCTGATAGGTAAACTCCTATACTTAACAATGACAAGGCCAAACATTTCATTTAGCGTACAAACACTAAGCCAGTTTCTTCAAAGACCAAAGAAATCTCACATGGATGCAGCTCTCAGGATTGTAAAGTACATCAAGAACAGTCCTAGACAAGGAATACTACTCTCCAGTAAATTCAATAGTACTATTTCAACATATTGTGATGCAGACTGGGCTGCCTGTCCATACTCAAGGAAATCTGTCTCAGGGTACCTAGTCAAATCTGGAGACTCCTTAATATCATGGAAATAAAAAAAGCAAACCACAGTTTCAAGAAGCTCAACAGAAGCTGAGTATAGAAGCCTTGCAGCAACTGTGGCAAAACTTATCTGACTAGCTGGATTTTTAAAAAAGAAGTGGGAATTGATATCAAACTATCTGTGGAAGTATTCAGTGATAGCAAAGCTGCAATGCAAATTGCAGCTAATCCTGATTATCACGAAAGGACAAAGCATATCGAGATCGATTGTCATTTTATTAGGGGAAAAATCATACAAGGGTTAGTCAAAACAACATACATATCTGCTAATGAACAACCTGCAGATCTTTTAACTAAGGGTCTCAACAAGATTCAGCATGAATATCTTTCTTCCAAACTAGGTGTTCTCAATATGTTTTCAGTACCTAGCTTGAGAGGGAGTGTAGAGAAAGATATAACATAGCCAAAGTAAAAAAGGGCAGTTATGTAATTTCCTAATGTTAATTAAGTTAGTTATTAACAACTAATCCTAGCTGTTAGAGTTAGTTAGAGGAGACTAATTACACATGTATGAATATATCTCATCTCTGTACAGATTGAGCTAAGTGAATGAGATCATTTCTTCTCTCTTACACGCTTCTCTCTATCTCTCTGCTTCTCCCGTCTTTCATTCTTCTTCTACATTCTTCAACTAGGCAAGAACCCATTAATTAGTTCAAAGGATGTTCAAAGTCTATATTTAATCAATAACAAGTAAAAATTTATCTTATACGTAGTATACTTTTTCAGCAAAGAATGTTCGGTTGACCATCCTTGGGCCAACATAACTTCACCCCTATTTAGATACATTCACTTGTAAATTTCCACAAATTAAACCAATTACTAACTGTTAAACCATTGAACTACTCTCATGTTATGTTAAATTCATATCGTTACTCTATATTTAAAGATAACACACTTTTACAAATTGTCCGGCTATATAATACGTTTCTTATATACAAGATTTTAAGAAAGAACGCATTTTATTGTTGATTAAAAATATTAATTATAAGCCAAAGTATATATTTAGTCAAATATTAAAAAGACAAGAATCAAAATTTACCAATAACGTAGGTATAAAAAGTGCAATTATCTTAGTATAAATATTTATATCCGAACAAAATCCTTAAGTCGAGTTTAAATTAAATTTTTTAAGCAGGATTATGGGTTCCAACTTTTATTATACTCCCTCCGTTCATTTTTACTTGGCACATTTTGACTTCTCACGCCCTTAAGAAATAATAAATGAAGTGCATAATTTACCATGATACCCATATTAATTGATCCATATTTTATTGGATTTGAGAAAATAATTTGAAATGAGTAATAAATACTGTGAATATAACAGGAGAAAAAAAAATTCTCTTGATATGCATAAAGTGACAAGAAAAAATGAAAATTTATTTTTAGTATACCTGCCGAGTAAAAGTTAACAGAGGGAGTAAATAATTACTTTCATTGTTATTTGATAGAAAAGACACCGAATTCTACAATATGAATTGACCAAGAGCTGAAATGTAAGGAAATGGAAAAACGAAGGCCTTGGGATTTCCAAATAGAGGAAAAATCTCAGCCACAACAGTGGGGACAAGTTGAAGTTTACGTTTTATTTTTGGTGTTGTGACCACCGTTTTATAGTACTGTTGGAAGTACCGATGAGTCCAACATTTGAATACGTCGAAAATGACCCAACAGCGATCGACCCAACCCAACTATCACAAGTGCGCTGGTGGCTCTGGTCCTGTCCTCCCCCCCCCTCCCCTTACCCCTCCATTATCTACCAAAATTTCGGACTTGAGACAATCATTTTGCTGTTAACAAAAAAAAAAATGTTTGGTATGATAATGCATTCTTGGAATACATAAAATAAGCTTTTCTTTCATGTTTCTTCACTAAGTAAAAGAATGTTTAACACTCTATTTATAAAGGATAAAAAAATAATGTAAGCAAATTGAATAGTGTTACAAGAATTTCAGTGTTGATAGTAACATTTAAATGTCAATTGGTGCAAGTGATACAGAAAATGAGCTGAGAGATCGTAAAAGAAAATGATTTTCACCCATTAGTGGGATAAATCATTTTCAATCTTAATATTTGATGAAGCACAAGATCTTGTTGCTTATTAATTATATCTTTGATGAAGAGTCAATATCATTTGAATGACCAAAATTTATATCTCACTTACTATAGGTATTCATATTTTAGTTCTATGTCTCTCAAAATTATCGAACTTTTATTATTTACTATTTGAAAGTACTTTTATATTTACTCATGAGGAGTAATATTTTAAATTATGTTATTATGAAGTTTATCCATTATTAACTTTTAAAGAGGTAAGCTATGTAGTTTAATAGTAATATTTTTGAAAATACTATGATCTTTTAATTATTTGAAGGATAAAACATTATAGTTGATTTTATATTATAGTAACTTTAACACTATTACATTGTTTATATTTATAAAAAGATACTAAGATACTTTATGTTTGTTGGTTTTAAAAAAAATTTAAATTTTCTTAAACTTTTAATGTGCTTTTTATTTTTTTGTAGTTATTTTATTATTTTATTAGTATATAAATTAAAAAATTAAAAAATTCATGGGGCTTACGTCTCACCCCATGTTAAGTAAACGCCCTCTCCCCCTTAAAAACACTGCTATTTACTACAATTATTGTTCACATTTCAACCACGTTGTAAATTAGTACTCCTTCTAATTTATATGATACATTCTTTTTACTAATCTGTTAAAAAAAGATGACGTATTTCTATATTTGAAAACATTTCAACTTTAAATTTTTGATTTGAATCATTTTACTATTAGTGAGAAGCGTTTGTACTACACAAATATTATCGACCCACAATGCTTTTACTCCTTAAACCTTTGAGGGCATAAGTTTTAAAGTCTTCTTTTGATGGAGTAAATTTTAACGTCTACAATCCGGCGTGCCGTTTTCTATTTTTCCTTCCATAAGTACTTATTACTCTACATTTGATTTTCACAAGTTATCTACTACTTCTACTTTCCTACAGTTTGAGCAACTTGGGGTCGTAGGGGTATTTTAGTAAAACTGCATCTGTTTTGGCCTGAGCCACGGTTTTCTCAGGTTTTGACAGGCCCTCAAGCTGAACGCCCATGGTCCATACTATTCTTCCTCCACGTTGCCCAGCCTTCTACACTGATCTTTCTCCAAATTTTCATAGTCGCTCAATTTCAGTTCCAGTTTCCTTTGTCTCTTTCAATCTTCTATCTTCCTGCTCAGTCTATGTGCTTGGTTGTACAGTTATAAGGTAAGTTTTGCTTTCTTCTTTTTCTGATTTTCAAAATCGCTGCTGGGGGGACATTATTTGAATCGGGTAAATTGTTGATCCATTGTTTAAGAGTTCTATTGCTGCCTTTCTTCACACCATGAAAAGAGTAGAGTTGGTGAAGCAAATTCATAAAGAAGGAGCGTGCAGAGACCAAATTTATATCCACATAAAAAGAGGGTTATCATTTAATTCATGAATCAAGGCTCAAGAAGTCTTGAGTTGTTTAAGAGTGAACCAAGCACACATAAGATTTCATGATTTTATTTATAAAACTAGTAAATTTGTCCGCTCTTATAATAATCGGAGTTAAATTACCAAATTTTATGAATTTATTGAAATAATTTTTTAATTTTTATGCAGACAAATTTAATTCTATGAATTAAGGTAATAACAAAAAAATAATATTTTACTTCATCGAGGTGATCAATTTGCCTGAGGATATTACTTACCTCAATTAAAGTGCAAATTTCGTGCGTTGGCTTGACAATATTGCTGAAGTGGTTTACCTCTTTAATCGATTGTGAAGGTATCACTTATACACATCTTTAATAGGTCCTACCATACAAATGTATACTTCTAAAATTTTAATCAACTTGATGATTTGGTTATTTAAGAATTTCAAGCAACTGTAGATGAACTAAGACACTGGGGAAGAGAAGATGTTGCACCACTCGGTACAGAGAGAGAGAGAGAAATGTATGATGTAAGCCATTTAGCCTTCCCTTCCTAATTAAAGGTCGTATAAATATGATAAGAATCCAAATATACTTGGAATTCAGGGATGATCTACCTACTAAATTGAAGATTTAGTGATTTATGAATCTAGTTTCTAACACATTAAATCGTTCATCAATATGATATTGGAGTAGTAACTGAACGAGAGGTTTTGGACTTCTAGGTACGTACCTCGTCTCTCCTTTCATTTCATGTTTAAATGTTGTTAAAAGTAATAGTTTTTATTATTATATGCAATCGTATTTAGCTATTTTAAAATACAGAAGAAAATAAGTTAATATTCTATTATGGATATATGAAAATGCAATAAAAAAGAGAGACAGACATAGTAGTAGGTTTTTACATTCTTACTTTGTTTAAAAATAAAGCTGGGTGCCACCATATTCCCAATAGAATAAATTGAAGTAGTTCTCTGTTGTCGAAATGAAAAAGAGAAAATTTTCATATGAAAAAGAAAAGTAAAAGGTAAATCGACTTAAGTTTAGAAGATAATATTAACAATATCATATCCCAGTAATTATAACCATAATTAAGTTGCAAAATATGAGGTTGATCCCCAAAAAAAAGAGAAAAAACAATTTGTGGAACACAAAATACACCACTCTTGACCCTATTACAATTAATCTTACAACCACCGAGCTATTATAAATTATCCGTGAACCATTCTATTTCCAAATACCATGGTGTTTTCTTGATGAATATTTGAATAGAGGATTGTATTGCCCAATCTTTAAACGGAAAAAAAATGTGACAACAAAATGCACACCGACAAAATGCATGGATATTGAGATTATTTAACGTCATAAGTTATAAGTGCATGAATTAAATTTGTCAATTCTATTGCAACTTACTCTAGAATTTCATCCTTATGGTTGGTTTTGTTCCAAAAATAATGTCCTAACGCCGATGTCTTGCATCTAAAAAAGTGGAAGATTATCATTATCTCTAATGGAGCGAACAGAAAGATAATAAAAGGTGTCCAGTAACGGTAAAACAATCATCTATTCAGTATTTTTTCTTGTGGGTTACTGTTCCATACATCGCACTTGCACAAAACCCCGGACATTTCAAATGACATTTATGAGTTACTGGAAGAAAACGACGATAATACAAATCTATTGATTTCTTGCAGCTATGAAAAACAGAAAATAACGTAGCATCAATATTTCTAAAGGAGCAAAACACGTATATCTAATAATAATAATAATAATGGAGCTGAAAATAGAAAGCTATGAAATTCACTAACATTGTACAAAACCAAGCTAAATATGAGTCTCTATATATAGTGGTGTACTATTGTTTTATGTTTAATGAGGAAGAATCAGCCGTTCAATTCCTTTATTAAGTGATGGAGCGTTTCGGTTTTCAAATTGATTATAGAATTGGTTTAGTCATTCGTTTTAGTTTCTATAGTCATAATTTAAACCTTCCATAAATGACAATATTAAGGATGCCATAAATATGATATGTTTAATATTCTACAGATTTTTTAGTCACCAAATAATGGATAAAAGCCAAAAAAAAATGAGAAAAAAGATAGAGGACTTTCTTGAGCTATAAGAGGTGCCACATCACCTTTTTAATTCCTAGCTTTATATATATATATATAAAGATACATGCATATATATCTACAAAAGAAAACTCAGAATGCAACATTAGGGTAGACGTGATATTTATAGGATGAAATTCAGTGATTAGAGAACTGGCAGATGGTAAGCAACACAATCTATGCCTATTTTAGTCTAATTTGATCAATGTCATCCCACAATGTTCAGTTGTTCACTCCAGTTAACTTTCCTGACCAAAAGTCCTTTAAACAAATGGAAGTGTTAACACTAATTTTCTCTTGAGAAAAAGACGCATAAAAATGAGGTCATAAAGGAGAAGGGGTTGATTGGGAAAATTAGTGTTTGTTTTTAGAAGTGTTTGAATATTTTTATTTTTGAACTTCTTTAATTTACTGAAACTTTTATAAGTTTGTAGAATATTGATATAGAACGGGATAAGTTTTACTCATCTGGCGTGATCATAAAGAGATACAAGTATGCCAAAAAACCTCTCGCCTTTTGTTTTCTTGACTTGTAGTTTGCAGATTGAACATTTTATTCAAGTGGTGAAAATAGCGGTGATGGTATGTACTGTAGTAAACATTAAAAGGTTCATTTTTTGGGTAGAAAAAGGGTTGTTTTATGAAGCATTTACAGGTGAATTAGTAATAGGAAATTTGAATGCCATATGTTTTTTTTGGTCTGAGTTAGTTATCACAGAACAATATTGCTATAGGGTAGAGATAATAAAAAGGGCATCAATCACACATGCCGTATAGAAAACTTAGATGATCAAGAAGACCGACTGATAATTTCAAGATTTAACCATGTACTCCTCTTCCTTTGAGCCAAGGTTGCTGGTATATCACTTTTCAAAATGTCGTTGACCCTGTTTCCAAGTCAGTGGCTGCTACTGGAAAGTGTAAGTTGCATGACATTCATATGTGAACTTATGTTGGCATATTTTCAAGCTGTCTTTTTCTAAAGTTGATGAAAAAAGTGTGAAAAACTTGTTCAGAAACGGACAAATTCCATATCGAGTCAACAAAAGGATAGCTCAAGCTTAAAGTTTTATTTATTCAGACGTGCCTTACAAATATTGAGCTCTAAACTCCATCAATTCAGCAATCTGCCTCAAATCTAAAGCATGTTCTTTTGTGACTTGCAGTTAAATAGCAAACCACATGAAGCAATTAGAGTATCCGCACTTACAGTTCTAAAGTGCACTGTTGGTGGATGTACACTTTGATGTAAAGCAAGTAACTTTTGCGTTGATATTACCTATTACTCACAGCTATTAGCTCTTATGGTTCCTCAACTCCATATGAAATCTTTCGCAGATGTGCTCATTCTATATAAACTTTTAGTTAATGATTCTGCTACTGATATACACCACTCTATACAAGTTGCTTTCTTTTCTAGGTAGAAATTGATATCATTGAAGATGCAACTTTTCTAAATGTTGTTGTGAAGGTAAATATGTGGTTAAGATGGCAATATTATTATTATGCTCATTTTGTTTGGAGGCCTCATCTTTGAAGCTCGAGATTCCTTTTTAATTTGCTAATTGGTTGACTGAATTTGTATTTCTACCTTCTCTTTGTATGATTATTACTTGTGGAGGGTTGAACCTTTAGCTCATACCAGGTATAACCTTTACATCCTACCAACTTCTGTACCGATCCTCGCTAATAAACCTGTGGCACATTATTGATCTCAGCTCATCCTTGCTTAATGATCTCTTCACTGTTGTGTTTATAGTTGAGACAAAATTTCAGATTATCTCATGTCTTAAGCCTTATATTGTTATATACAAATAGAAAACCCCATAATCTGGTCTTAAATATTGTGTGCTAGCCTCAAGAAGAACTGTTGGTGCATTTTTTGTATGCTTCGTTCGCTCTTCCATTTGGCTTAAGTTGATCTTCAATATTTTAGTATTAGGGTCTAAAAAAACTCTAATATTAAGATGAATGACATAGACCTCCATAAACAATAAATTGCAGTCAATTTTTTTTAGCATCAGTAGGTATATCAACAGTATGAACAGTCGTTTCACATATATCTGCATGTGGTTGGATTTTGAATCATTTCATGGAATGCATGATAAATTTAAAATGTACTGGACCAAATTTCCTTTTCCATTATGCTTATCTGTAGGGTTATTGTACACACGCTGTTCCAGATTATTCCCTCCCTTGGTAGAAACAAAGCCAATTTGCAAGTACAGGAACCAGTTTTTGCTCAAATTTATTATTTCCTTTAAAGTTGTGAGGAAAAAGGAAAATCTCCTGCAAAAAGTTATTCTCGATTGGGCTTAATAGCGTATGATTCCCATTACGGGGCATTGAATGAAGTTGGTTCCATAATGTGCAATTATTTATGAGGAATTTTTGTCTGTACGATAATTCAATGTTATGTGTATGTGTGTTGCATCTTTTAGGACAGGGGGGTGAGAGTGTCTACAAGTTTGACTGTTGTTTAATCTGTTCAGTGCTTTCATGATTGGTGATGGGAAACTCTTGACGCACATTGTGTTGAACATAATACCCAGGTATTTTTGTAGTTTTGCTTTGCTATATCGACAATCTTCCTATTAACTGACTTTTCTATGTGTCTATCTGCTTTTATTAGAATAACAATTTTTATTATCATAATGTCTGCTATGAATTTTTCTAAAAAATAGTTTTCATGAAATAATAGAAAGCCCTTAAAGTAGAGCAATTGGTGACATGTGAATTGTATATCGAAACCAGTAAATCATCATTGTAATTTTGTTCTGTTATGTAAACTGAAGTGTGGTTTATGTTGGATATAATATTTCTTTTTCTGAGAGGAGGGCATATCTAGGTCATCCATAACCACGGTCTACAGATCAAGGCTTGACTTTAAGATTAGACTGCATTTTTGGAAAAAGGTTAACAAGCACGTTATTTCTTTTTTTGGTTAAAGGTGAATCCGGGAAGGAAGCAAACTTTTGACTTGTTATAAAAAAGAAAAAGTGCAGAAGATGTAGAAGTGAAAAAGTAACTCAGCAATTTGCGTTCTTTACTTTTAAAGCTTTGCACTGTGCCTGCCACAAATATTCTAATCACACTTCTCTTCTGATGTGTGAGTGTCTCTTTATTTCAAGCCTTCAGGTCAAGCTTTTAAACAACAATGAAGGCTAAAATTCTGGTGTACGCAAGAGAAATAGAATAATATATACACTTAAAATACGAATTACCCGCATAACCATTAGGCTCGACCTTAGACTATGTTGTATTCTTTTTGGTACAAGGAACTGTTTTTCTGTAGAACTTTAATTCACTATTGTATTTTATATTGAACTGATTACTTGTCAGAATGCTGTATTTATGATATAATGGTTTAAGAATGAGAGGTCATCTTCTTAGCAGGGAAGGAAGTTTTAGTTGTTCTCTATTCTTTTGTTATTTGATAGGTAAAGAAAGAAAATTAATTTGTGCACATAAATTACTGGATAAGCAAATAATATAAAAGAGTCATCATTTGTAATCCTAAATCTATCTTCGTTTCCTTCTGCCTTTTTCCAATGAAGGCATCCGTAATGATGACGGAAGCAGACCCTGCGAGCCGACTGTTTCTTGACTTACAAGGCTGGGAAGACCACATAGAAAGATAAGTTGAAAAACCTGGATGAGGTAAATATCCTTTTTATTTATGCCATCTCAAGCAAGATTTGGGAAAAAGGCAAGGATTTTAAATATTTTTTAATTGTATTTTAATAACAAACACGTTTTCATATTATTTTTACAAGACTTGTTTGAATTGTTCTGCGGTTTTCTATTGTAATTTATCTCAAATGGTATGGGGTAGGGTATTTACATTTCCTCTGAAAAAGGAAAGGGTCTAATAATATGTTAAATATATTTGAGCTGCACTGAGATAATTGCACGATTAGTGCATTACTAAAAGTGAAAACATCAATATAACAATTAGAAACATAACCTGTTAAGCAACTTTGTCACGCAAAAACTGACTTCTTTTAGCGCTGATAGATAACATCGCGATCAAGTTATGCCTCAAAATGAAATATCATTAAGCTTATCCTGTTTGACTGAAGAAATGCCTAAAAGCTATGCATTCCACACTTAAGTTGCTCCTTTGACATTCAGTTTTGCAAACTCTCAATTTTGGTAGTGATTTCTACATTTGATTGGCCTATAAGCCACAAAGTAAAATTACATTTAGGCTACAATGCTGCAAAATAAACTGAATTTCACAAGATTATTCTCTTCGATATACAGAAGGAGCATTAGCTTTATCATCTTCTTTTGATGAAATGGCAGGAAAGCTCATCTAACAAGGGTGAAGAAGCATCTGAGAGGCCAAATATGAGTTCGCTTTCAGAAGATACATAATGTTGTTGAACACACACGAGGAGATTTACCATAGTTCATATCTCTCTCAACTGCAAAATATTAGTATTCTAAGACTATTGCAGGTCAATTTCTTGGCCCGATAATTTTGGTAGAAAAATTATTTCTTTTGTTTGTTTATCAACTCTGCACTTCTTATTTAAATATCTTATTAAGTGTTTAGCTACTTTACAGTAATGTGACTCATCTGCACTTTTTATTTAAATATCTTGTTAGTTGTTTAGCTACTCTACAGTAATGTGACTCATCATGAGAATCATTTGATTCAGTTAGTTTGCAATATCTAATGTACATACGCTAAATTCTACATTCAAGTTTTGTAATTTCAACTCTTTTCTTATGCCTTTTCAGGTGATTAATTTATGCAAACAAATGAGTATGAATGGCAAAGAAGTTTTGTCAATTGCTTATCCGTCGATGATAGGAACTCAACCAAAGGCATCCCAAGATAAGGTATCGCCAGCCATTTTATTAAGAATAGGTTATTAAAAACGAATGAATGGTACATGATCAGTACTTCTTTGAACTCAACAAATACAAGAAAAGAATAGTAGAATAGAAAGCAAGAGGAACCAATCTTTAAGACACAAGTTGGCCTTATGAAAATCTGGAGAACATGTAGTATCACTTGGAACCCCAGATTATTATTGGGCTCTGGTAAAATGAAAAAATATTTGTTCTAAGCAACTTAGCTGAAGGAAGATCACTTTTAAAGAATGAACAAAGCCAACTAGATTATTGGCTATTTGAGTGAGATGTATAATTATTGTGCTGCCTCTGCCATCTATGTTATAACAAGAAAAATGTTCACATTTTTGACTTATACTCTTTCCTTTGAACATGTTACCATTGTTAAAAAAAAATTATTCTCTTGCCCAGTTACTTGTTCTTAAAATATATATCTTTCCTTACCTCAGGTTGCTAAAGAGATCAGTTCTGTGTGGAGGAGGCGTTAGGGAAATAGAGAATCATGTTAAATATTTTTATATTCAACATCTCCCACTGTAGTTGAGTCATTTATAATCTGATACGTATCAATTGTGTTGTCTAAAAATATTGTAGACATTTATGCCCCTATTCTGGATGTTATAACACATAGAGACAGGATTGCTCACCAATTATGGCCAACCTGTTGCATATATATAAATTTATCACCAAAAACAATAAATAGTTGTTGGCCCGGGCTATGCCCCGGCATACCCTCACTAGTATACTTATATACTACTATATAAGCGAGGATAAGCAGGACATGGTCAACATGTCTGTTTCATCACAAAGGCATTTTTGTCATTTCATAATGTTTCCCTGTATTCCATATTGGCCCATCCATGCTCTACTCGAACTATGGGGAATAAGCAGGTAGTCCCGCTTAGGGTTAGATTCGGAAATATGGCAGGCACAACATTTAGTAATGTGAGGTCCATTCAGATTCTCATCACATGTAGTATTAATTTGTACTTTAGTGTCTATACTTGATATCCACGTGGCTAAAGCTACTTTAATGACTATTGAGTGTAATATTATCCATCCCGTAATTATTTAACTTGAGGGTCTGTTTGATTTAGTTTAAGTTCGTATATGTAAATTAAACCCATTATGTTTAAAAGTTCAGAGACAACATACAAATACTTAACTTGAAATTTTATATTGTGATCTTACATAAAATTTTAAAAACCTTTTTTGGTTTGGACATTTCTATGTGATTAGCTTTTTAAATGGTCTTTATTTTAATTACGTAAAATACAAATTATTGCATAGAGAGTAAATCCACAATTTATGAAATAAAATTATAACATTGTTATAGATGCCAACTACATTACGAAATGGTAGTACTATAATGCTCCAGAATATTGCAGTTGCTTCACTACCTTGTAAGTGATAATTAAATTGAAAATTTAAGATACATAATAAGGTTTAAAAGAAAAATACAATTATAACTGAATTAATTATTTTTTTTGGCTCAAAGTTCCAAAGGCACTACACTTAAAACAATGAAACGTTACGAAAGTCAACAAGTTAAATCAAAATTTTTAATATACTACATAAATTACTGAATGAACTTAAAAGGTAAGTGATATGATTATTATTTATATAAACAATAGGGTTAGAAGTAATACCTGCATCATTTTTGAAATAAATAAACACTAACTTACAACTTAATATTCAGCTAATTTTAACTTGCCATAAATTTATATCAAAATTACTACTTTACAATATAACTAGTAAAGAGCAACGCCTAGGGGCAGAAGATGCTTGTATAAGAACTGTTACGTGTCCAAAAATGCATGTATAGGAACTGTTACTTTCTCTTTTAATTTTCCTTCGGTTCATGATCAATGAAAGAAAGAATTAAAAAAAATACTCGAAAGCTATTTAAAATACAGAAAATTTGCAAGTTTCAACTTCTTCTTTTTGGCGCATATTTAAGGAATAATAAAAGAAAAATTGAAAATATTAAAATTATCTACCAAAAATTATGTACCTTAGTTTGACCAATATTTTATTGACTTCACCAAACTTAAGATAAGTAAAAGTAATAAAGTCAGTTAACTCTGTCATTTTGTCGAGTACTACCGAGCATCAATTATGTGCACAATCGAAATTTTTTCCATTTTTTTTTTTGATTAATGTAATTTGTCAAACTAAAATGTATGCATTCCAACAGCAAATTATATTTCCAAATCTCACGCTTTCATATTGATGCAAACACCACTATTTTTGTTCGAAATTAATATTTCTCTATTTGGTAGTTAAGTTAAACAGACCAAGACATCAATATCACAATTATTTAATTATACTCTGAAAAATGGTTCCTGAAAATTTTTATAGCAGTATCATAAAATGTAGAATAATTGCCAAAGAAAATTTATAATAGTATTAGAAAATGTAGACCACAATCTATAGTTCCAAAAGAAAATTTATAATAGTATCGCCGCAAGATGTAGATCACAACACATACTTATGATAATAGCAATGACAGATGTAGACCCAAAATTTATAATATTTTGGAACAATAGCTCAAATTTATAATATTTTGGAACAATAGCTCAAATTTATAATATAGAGATCTTTACACGAATAGCCGGTCATATTTATTGTTTACTTTTTCTAGCCATTTACATAGATTACATATTAAATAGATAATTATACATATATAATACATAAATTATGCATATATTATATATCCACCGGCTATTATTAGTTTAAGCAATTGAATGGACGGCTAATTGGGTGACCTCAATTTTTTTGTGAAAATCTTCTGCATTAAGCACACGGGCTATCTCTAACTAGTATTGAACATAGAAATCTACAGTCGGCTTAGAATTATTGGAGTTGGCAAACATGTAAATCCATGATTGTCATGATATAATTTTTCAATATATTGTTAACAGTTTATTCTAAAAATTCAAATGTCTTACAAACTACAAAAAAGACAACCAAAAAAGAAAAAACTTTTTCCCGGACATCACGCTGTGTCAGTTATAAAATAATAGTAAGTGTTTAAGTTATATAATATATACGTATTCAATTAAGATTTTTATGTGCCTGAACTTTTTCTTTTTCCATCTGAATCTACTAAAAAGGTATCCAATCCATTCAATTTCGAGATACAATTTTCCTTTTCCTCATTTATTTTAGCTTGCATGCAGCGTTGTTCCTTTTTTTCAAATGATTTGCAGCCAAGATACTTTGGGAAAAAAAGATGTTTTTTTTTATACCACTTAATAAACAAAACACATATTTTCTCTACATAAACATAAATTAAGCAAAAGAAAATCTTTTGTGTATCTCCTCATGTTAATTTCTTCATTACGATACAGCCCAAGACCATCTAGTTATAAAAGCATCAGTGACACTGCTTATATTAAGCCGGATTTGTAGTAAGAAAGCAGTATTTTGTAAAGTCATTAAACGTGAAATTGACATGCAAACAATTGTTAGTGTTCTGGCTTCTTTTTTCTTTGGGATATGAAAATGAAATGAAACCACAGAACATGTGAAAATGGTCCATGTATCATTAAATCCAAGGATGTAATTTATCAATCCTTGTCGCCAACCCCCAACAAAAGTACTTCAATGGCCAAAAAATTATTCAATTAAAAGCACTAATCTTCTTGTAGAATACTTCTACCCTTTTTTCTTTACCATTAATGTGTTCTGCAAAAGCTGATAGAACTTTGAAATCCACCATTTATGGTAAGAGAGTAAGCCACTTTTCTTCCTCCAGTTCACAACAAGGGTCCATTTTCCATTTTATATTTTGGTCCAAAATAACTGTTTATTTATATAATCAAAAAGGAATTAATTTTATTTTTTCAAAATTTGCTCTTATTTACATATTCCAATGTGTCAAGGTAACAATTAATTAAGGTTAATTTAGTGAATACTAGGAGTTCGTATTTCTTTAATGGATGTACCAAAGATAAAATGGTCACTTATTGTGGACCGGAGGAAGTAGCACATTAGGATTTCAGTTGGTTAATTAAGCAGTTTATGATATTGTATATGCGTTTTAAACGCTATAGCCTGCAATATTTATTTTGGTGAAAGAGTAAACAAAATGAAAGAACAATCAGTCACCCAAAGAAGGCAATGAATTTTAGATACTCAACTTCTAAAAATGACCGTCATGTTTCAAGAATTTTCCAACTCAAAATGAAAAACAAAATGAGGCTTTTGACAAAAGTGATCTACCAAACTCAACTGCTAAAGAGGTTATGAATGGACCCTCACACCTCTTATTTTCCTTTATTTCATATTGCCCTACATTTTGAAAGTATTAGTCTGACTTTAAGTACATAGAAAGCAAAGAAAAGAAAAGAGAGGAATAAGACACAACACAATTATCTTTTGACTATGGACCAAATCATACTCTTTATTTTCTGCCTATAATTTAGGTGCCTCCCTTGTTGGACATATTCAATAGGATGCACATGCAGCATGCACGAAAAACCATTATTTCCCCTTACCCCACAAATCACAAATTTTCCCTCAATTCCTCAATCCCCGCACATCATCACGGAGTCTAGAACCAAAAACTTACACTACTACTACTACTACTTTATATAAACTCTGTACAAGAATCAAGAAACCAACACATCAAATATTCTACTTTCCCTTTTGTTCTATTTTCATTATGGGTCATTTCACTAAGCAAATGACATTCTTCTTGTTCTTGGTGATCTCTACTCCATTGGTGCAGATTGAAGGTAGAAAAAGCAAGTTTATGATCATTCCTGCATCTCCTACACCAGCTCCAACTCCTATCAATGAAATTAGTTTTCCTCCATTTTCATCCCTTACTCCAACTCCAACCCCATCACCAGCAACAGCGCCAACACCGTTTTTTAATGATTTCGCGTTTCCTCCATTGTCATCCTTAAGTCCAACACTGGCACCGGCACCAACACTAGCACCAGTAGGTAATGTTCAAGATCCTGATGTGAACGGCGTACCTGTGCCTGCAATAGCACCACAAGGGAGAGGTCAAGATCCAGAGGAAGGTGGCATTGAAGCGCCAGCACCACTTTTGACTGACACTCCTTATGGACTTTATGGTCCTCATTCTCAGGAAATTCCTTCTACTGTCACAAATCTTGATGAGGTTGAAACTCAAACTCCTGCCAAGGAATTCCAAGGTGCTAGATTTAATACAGATGAGTCCTACAACAACAATGGTTATGATTCCAACAACAACAACAACAACGGCAACAACAATGGTTACGATTCCAACAACAACAACAACGACAACAACAATGGTTATGATTCCAACAACAACAACAACAACGGCAACAACAATGGTTACGATTCCAACAACAACAACAACGACAACAACAATGGTTATGATTCCAACAACAACGACAACAACAAAGGTTATGATTCCAACAACAATAACGATGATGGCTTCTCCGAGAATTACAACAACAATGGCTACTCGGAGAATGCTAATAACAAAAATAACAATGGCTACTCAGAGAATTACAACAACAACAATGGCTACTCTGAAAATAACAACAATGGCTACTCTGAAAATAACAACAATGGCTACTCTGAAAATAACAACAATGGCTACTCTGAAAATAACAACAATGGCTACTCCAAGAATTACAACAACAATGGCTACTCTCAGAGTTACAACAACAACAATTTTTTCTCGGAGAATTCCAACAACAATGGCTTCTCCGAGAGTTACAACAACAACAACAACGTTTTCTCTGAGAATTACAACAACAACAATGGCTACTCTGAAAATAACAACAATGGCTACTCCAAGAATTACAACAACAATGGCTACTCTCAGAGTTACAACAACAACAATTTTTTCTCGGAGAATTCCAACAACAATGGCTTCTCCGAGAGTTACAACAACAACAACAACGTTTTCTCTGAGAATTACAACAACAACAATAATGATAATGCTTTCTCCGAGAATTACAACAACAACAACAACCACAAAAATGGCTACTCGGAGAACTACAATCAGGCTAGCAGCTACAATAACAATATGGTGGAAAGGCAAGGATTAAGTGACACAAGATTCTTAGATAATGGCAACTACTTTTATAGCAACAATGGTGAGAAAATGTCAATGGAAGAATCTGAAAGACAGCAGGAATATCCAGACACTGAAGATCAATATGAACTTCCTTGAAGATAAACATTATCAGTTGGTCCAAAGAAAAGGGACAAACGCAGGGGACGTGAAAATAGATTTAATTTACAGAGTTTGATTGAATTTTAAGTTATTTTGAGTGTTTGTTTCATTAGTTCCACTTGTGTCTGCAAACGCCTATTTTTTCCTCAGGTATAGTCCTGCAAATCAGACCGAGGGAACTTTGTGTTGTTTAATATTTTCGGATTTTTAAACTTATTATAATGATCTTGAAGCTTCACGCTTGATTATAAACTTGCATTATTATTATTATTATTATTATTATTATTATTATTATTATTATTATTATTATTATTATACCTTCCTCTGCTCCCAACATCCTCCTCCTCTGATCTCTCTGTCCCAGCAGGAATATAAGCTTCACGCTTTTTTTTTTCGCTATTATTTTGAGAGCGGCTACACAGTGTCGTTTTCCCTTATAAATTTCTGGACATGAATCGTGATTTGCCTTATTGATAACTACTACTATAAAATAGTACGAAAACATTATGCCAACTACATGTGATTTGATTGTCTATCTCAAAATATGTTAATACATTTTTCAATGTATAATCTTTGACTAATGCAATTTATACAAGTATACAACAAGTTAAACTGGATTCCTTTCTGAAAATATATGTTATATTAATTATTTTTAAAGGGTAGGGGGGCTCAGAGAAAGAAAAAAAGGTTTAGTAATAATTGAACCTTGTAACTGTAAAATACAATATCGTAGTAGCTTTACTATTGAGCTACCACACTTTTATTTAGGCAAATAATCTGCCAGTTCGTCCAATAAAGTTAAATTATAATTTAGGAAGTGTTATTAGGCAAATATTTAAAGAAACAATATAACATAATTGCCGTGATTGAAAGTGATTTCAGCTGAATTTCCTTGTTCATTTTCTCCAGCCAGCTGCTTTTAGTTTCGGGTCAATTCATGCATTTATCGCAGAGATGCATGGTCTTCCAAGGCTTTGCTCGAAAGTCCATACTTATTATCTTAATGATGTCGTATAAACATTTCTATTGTTACGCTGCTAATAAATTGGAAATTTGTAGTCATACGAATAAACAACCAATCCCCTTGTGTAAATTTGCTCATATTATGGGATTTCAATTTTCAAATCCTAATAAAGAAAGAGAATTACGGTTGTGAGCACGTGATTTTTGCCCTATATGAGAATTACTCCCAAAAATTCAAAATAAAACAATTTTCCTTTGTGTGCAATTTTGAATTTTCGTGGTATTTTTGATAATTATTTGTATTTTTGTCTGTGCATGTTAATGTTTTAAATTAATAAAAAATATAAAAATATGTCGCATTTGCATTTGATATTTATTTAAGTTTTTTTTACAAAACGAAAAATCATAAAAAATAATGTACGTTGCATTTTAGCATTTAACGTCCAAATTGTGTGATTTTATCGTTAATTGCTACTTAAATGTGCGATAATTGTTATTAGGAGTTAAGTAGTATTTTGAGATAATTTTGGGTTTTATAATTTAATCTTAGCATTTTTAGCTTTATTAATTAAGAAATTGAATAAATAGAAAAGAACAAAAAATATAAGAAAACCGGATTGGGCCTTTTCTTCAAATTTGAACCACAAGCCCAAAAGAAACGAACCCATATCGGGTCAACCCGACCCGGTCCGCCCCATAACCCCAAAGATCCAACTCCCCCTCTTCATTTTTTCATTTTCCCAAAACAGAAAAAAAAAAA